TCAGAGGTGGATTCCCTGCTTCCCCCCTCCTTTTTTCCCCTGTTTTCTTCTAAATACCTGATGAGTATGGAGACCCCGACGTCCTCGCAGTTTGCGTATACTCTGCTCCATGTCTCCTGAATCACCTTTTTCTCTGCCTCCGAGATCTCCTCACTTCTTTCCCATCTCTCAATCTCCATTTCTCCCTGGACTTTCTCCATGAAAACCAGCCGGCAGGATCCTCCGGGAAGCCAGGAGGAGACGGGGAGGGATGCGCGCGCGTGTATCCTGCGAGCAGAGACAAGGTGTTTGCTCGGCGGGCGCGCTCCGAGCTGGAATCCAGGAATAAAAAGGAGTATCCTGGCGGGTCAGCACACGCGATCAGATGCGCGACCGCCGGGTGCTGCCCATGGCTGTGCTGAGCTCAGCGCAGCTCGGGTGCCTGTGGCTGACTGATGGGAAACTGCCGAAAAGTAAAATATTCAAAGGCAGCGCAAGACCAGCCTCTTCTCCGATGTGCGGCCGTGAGCTCACTTTCTCTCCCCTCCTCTCACTCCCCCTCCTTTCGCTTCTTTTTTTTTTCCCCCGAAAGGCAGAGACAGGGAAGAGGCTCTGGGCAGCATCAGGACGAGGCGCGCGGGGGGGGCGATGACAGCAAGTGTTTTTTTTTTTTTTTTTTTGCCTGCAGCCCTTGTAAACTGCTTGGAGGAAATGCAGCATCTAAAGTGTGCGGTTTAACTTATCCCGACCCAGCTTCCCACTTTTCCCCTCGTTTCGCAAGCTGCCCGCTGCGAGAAACCCTGTCTGAGCAGAGCAGGATCCTCCCGGGTCATGGAGAAAATATTGTCTGCCCTGCAGTGACTTCTTTCATTAGCAGATATTGCCCCCTGTTCTTGTTGCAGGAGCAAATTGCAAAGGGATCTAGACCAGGGTACCCCCAAAAGGAATGTGTGGCTGTTATTCCAGGACTGCATCATTCCCAAGAGCATCCCAGATGGAAGTGGAGCACAGGAGTGCCCGTGCATTGGGTTTTCTGTGTGTTGCGGTGTGTGTTTGGGTTGTTTTTACCCAAACGATGGTCCCAACTCACCAAAAATCCAGCGGATAATCTCTAGCCCGGTGCATTTGCACGGCGAGAAGGAAGATATTGCAAGACTTGCAATAACCGACGATCCCCCAGAGGGGGATCGGAGACAAGGAAGCAGCCTGGGAAGGAGTGTGTGAGCACAGACACTGCCGTCGGGCTGTCCGGTGGACAGACGGACGGACAAACCAGTGGCCGCACCACAAATCCGTAGGGGATGAGCCGGGCGGCACCAGCAAGGCACCCGCTGGGGATCCGTGCGGGATGGTTCACACGTCCCAGCCTTGCACCCTCCCGTGAGGAGGCAGGGAAACGGGCACCGCGTTTCAACCCGCTTTGAAACCGGAGCAAAACTGCAATGCAGCGCTAGCATGTTTGGGAAGAAAAAACTCCAATTGTGACAAACAGGAGAGCTCAGGCAATTGCCTAGGTCGAGCTGTCGGCGTTCACTTAAAGAGGACGGGCTCTTCTCCCGGCAGCCCGGGTCCCGGAGGAGCCCGCGGCCCCGCTCGGAGCCTGGTGCCGGTTCCACGCGGCTGCAGGGGCGCTTCCCCCCACGCCGCCCCCCGCGTGCAGCGGGGAATGTACTTGGCTCCCGAAGCTCGAGTGGGAGGTGAAGGCAGAGAACGGAGGCTCCAGCTCCAAGCGTGTGGGATGTGGCTCATGGCTCATCCCCACCCTTGACTCCGCCAACCATCTCCAGGGCTCGAGCCCCAGATCCGACCCCTCTCCGCTGGCCCCGGGGACACCAGGCAACCCCAGTGGGATCAACACTGCGATTGAAGTGACTGGAGGCATCAGCGTGGGGAAGCCCACGGTGTTTGGAGGAGCCTCCCTGACTCCTGTCCCTTTCTCCTTGGAGCGCACAGGGCGGGATGTGAAGCCACTGATGTGGCTCTTTGCTGTTTTTCCCCCATCCCGGGGGGTGTCCCTCCTCCTCTGTCCTTCATGTCCCCCCCAGGGACCCCACCAAGCCCAGTGATGCTGGAGCCATCCCCCCGAAAGCTGCTCGGCGTTACCCACCGCGCTGCAGCGCCGCTCGCTCGCGCGGCCCAGCCGCCAGCTGCGGAGCCAGGGCCCAGGAAGGAATAACAGGAGTCCAGGACCCGGCTTTGCAGCGCGCTCCAGCAAGGATTTAGCCTAAAGCCTGTGCAAATGCTCCGCACTTATTGCACATTTCCTTCTCCCGGCTTCCCGGTTCCCAGGAGAGCCGCGCACAAACCTGATGCTCCACCAGGGCTCTGCCCACGCGCCCCGGCTTTCAGCAGCCACCGGCGCAAGGAAGAGAGCACGATGGGGGTGAGACAGGGCTGGAAAAGCCACCGGGACCTGCTGGGATGAGGCTGGGGCTGCATCCCGTGGGAGGGGGCCTCGCTCTCATGGAATGCTCCCGAGTCATCCGGCACCGTGGCTGGTCTGCTGGGGACATTGGCTTAGGACGCCCCTTGCAAGGGGTCCGCATTGCAGGGACACAGCGGTGGGCCCTGAGGGGACATCACTGCCGACACTCCTGGAAGGGGCTTGGGTGAAGGTGGCTGTGTCAGGGCTTTGGTCCTGTTGTCCCCCTGGGCACAGACGAGGGCCATGAGTGAGATTAGCAAGAGCGCAGTCTGCCCAGGGCCTTCTCAGGGCTTGTCTCAGCTTTTCCTCCCAAAACACAGAAACCAAAACCCCAATCATAAAAGAAAACAAAAAAGCTGCGTGCAGAGACCTGTTGCGGGCCGCCCGGGTGCACCAGAAGCGGCTGCGGCAGGCCGGGGGGGGGCGCGCCA